TTTCTCTTTTTCCTCTAGACTTTAACATAAGCATCACTTACTTCAGGAAAACTTCCCTGACAATCTCTGCCCCATGCCACCCAGATGGATTACAGTTTCTTCCACTTTGAGAGTTTCCTATGTGTTTTCTTAGCCTACAAATCAGAAATGAAAACATTAAATCCAGGAATTATATATTTATTTGTACTACTGTTTGATTAACACCTACCCCATTATTCATTTTTCTGTAAGCTCCATCAGAGACCTAGTCCTTGTTCCTGACCAGTGTACCCTCAGCACCTAAGGCAGCACTTGGATCAAGGTGCACCTGTAATAAATCCTCATAGTTAGTGAATAAATAAATGAAACAGTAGATGAGCCTGCAAAGAAGGCATGGACAAGTTTATGAATAACATTGGATTCTTTATGGGCTTCCTTATTTTGCCATCTCTTCCCATTCTTCCCATGTAGTAGGTGAGAGTACTATACTGTAATGCAATAAGGAAATAGAGTACTGAGCCATGATACAATAGACAGATATGAAGCTACACTGAGATTCAGTAGATAGAGTACTACTCTGTGACATGGTAGGTAGATAGGTACCATATTGTGATATGTGACAGGCAAGGCAGGGTACTATACTGAGATACAGCAGGCAAGAGAGGAAATACTATAATGGTTAAGAGAGAGAATGCTACCATATTATAGCAGGTAAGACTGGGCACCATACTGTTCTACAGTGGATAACATGGGGTACCATACTGTTCTATCAGAAGTGAGACAGGGCACCATAGAGGCTACAGTCGATAAGACACGGCACTACACCTTGCTATTAGTAGCTAAGACAGGACACCATGCAATTTACAATTCTGTAGACACAGCCAATCTCCATTCAGTTCCTGATCAACCAGAAAGCCTAATCTTTGCCAAGGTACAGCTCAAAACCCACATTCTCTACTAAATTTCCACCTCCTGTTACTTAGAACCAGTCTCACACTTCTTCTGCTATATTTCAAGCTTCTAAGAAGGGATCAAAAGGCTATATTTTATTCATCATTGCACTTCCGCATTGCCTGCCTCAGAGAAATGCCCTCTAAAGACACACTGTAAAGTCAAAACTGAGGGGAACATTGTCCTGGATAATATGCCCAGGCAGGAAAAGGCAGCAAATATCACACAAGGAGAGAAACCTGAGTGCTTCTTTATATTACTTGAGGTTCCCAAAGCTAGACACTTATTTATTAAACTAACTTCAACATTATAAAGTCCGGGTCAAAAGATATCAACTTTTCCTGTTGCTTTTCAGATACTATAGAAAATATATTTCAAAGTTCAAATGTCACCTGTTGTGCCTAGAAGCATGTCCCCAGAACCATGAACAAGAACATATCTGAGGATCCAATGGAACTCTTCTAAAATTGCCATTGAAACTTACAGTTTTGTATCATCAAACCAACCACAATCATAGGATTATCATGTTAACACCTAAAAGTTTCAGAACCAGAAAATTCAACTCATCTGTGTCTCCCACCGAGTATTCTTTGTCATGTGAATCAGACTTTCTTTTATTTACTGTCTTGGAAGCTGGCCTTTGGCTTAGCAGTTAAGTACCTGTATCCCACAGACTACCAGGGTTCAATCCTGGCTCCGGATCCTGACTCCAGCTTCCTGTCAATGCACATGGTAGGAGATAGCAGTGATGGCCCCAGTGGTTGGGTTCCTACCCCCAACATGGGAAACCTGGATTGCATTACCAGCTCTCTGCTTCAGCCGGGCTCAGCCTCAGCCATTGCAGGCTTTTAAGGAGTGAACAAGTGGGTAAAAACTCTTTCTCTCTTTCTCTCTCTCTCTCTCTCTCTCTCTCTCTGCCTATCTCTCCCTATCCACCCCCTACCTGCATATCTCTGCCTTTCAACTAAGTAAATAAAATGAGACTTTAAAAACCAGATTGTATACTTGGTACAGCGATTAACTTACTGCTTGGGACACTTGCATGCCATTTGGAATTCCTGCTTTGAGTGTTGGATACTCCACTTCCAATCCAATTTCCTGCTAATGCACATCCTAGGAGGAAGTAGATAACAGCTCAAATACTTCACACTCCTGCTACCTGTGTGGGAGGTCCAAATGGAGTTCCTGGCTCCTGGCTTCGGACTGGCCCAGCCCTGACTATTGTAGGCATTTGGAAAGTGAATCAACAGACAGGTGACCGTCTCTCTGCCTTTCAAATAAAAATAAAATAAAAATTTTAAAAGTAATAAAACCCACATTGTAAATCAGCCTCTTATTTTTACTTAAGTCCATGAGCTAGATCACTGGTCTATTGTTAAATGCTATGAGTTGGCCAGTGCCACGGCTCACTAGGCTAATCCTCCGCCTGCGGCGCTGGCACCCGGGGTTCTAGTCCCAATTGGCACGCTGGATTCTGTCCTGGTTGCTCCTCTTCCAGGCCAGCTCTCTGCTGTGGCCCGGGAAGGCAGTGGAGGATGGTCCAAGTGCTTGGGCCCTGCACCCGTATGGGAGACCAGGAGGAAGCACCTGGCTCCTGGCTTCAGATCAGCCATTTGGGGGGTGAACCAATGGAAGGAAGACCTTTCTCTCTCTCTTACTCTGCCTGTCAAAGAAAAAAAAATTAAATGCTGTGAGTCAATTTGGGGAAGGAGGAAGTAGAATAACTAAGAATCCCTAGATACTTCAAATTTTCCTATCAAGGTCTAGCTAGATTAAAACTACACATTAGAGCAGATTTTTTTCTCATTTTTTTTCACTAGCCAGTTCTCACCATCTATCACTCCTAATTTAGATCATTTAGAATATAGTCAGTAACAATCACCATTGTTGATAGCTCAATTGCCTAAAGTTGTTCTTTGTTCAAAGACACATAAGCAAGTTGCTAAATGATTCTCTATTAGAAAAATGTCCAACTCACATCCGCCCCAACTTCATGCCTATTTCATCTGTACTCAGTAATCTAGTATTCATAGCTAGTTTTCTCTCTGGGCTGAATACTAGAACTTTTTCTTCTTGTAAACAGAAATCATATGAAGAACATGTCCTGCATTTCAACTGAAAATTAAAATGATTTCCAAGCTTTATCCAATGCATTTAAATATCGCTCTCTGCTGCCGGCAGAGTAACTTAAAGCCACATTTTAAAAGCAAAGTTCCAGGACTAATTACCTTTCCCATTGCTGCTGCTGCCGAAGCTGTAGTCATTGAGGAGAATCTTCAGAAGCTTGGTTTTGTTGCTAGAGCAACCTAAAATAACACGAAGGCAAACCTGATCTAGTCGAGCAGAACCAGTGTTAAGCTTACTTTTACAATTCTGACCCACATGTAAGAAAATCGGGCACCTGATCAGGTAGGGATTTGAGACAACAAACACTCTTTGCGTGGAGACCTCGTGGCACAGGCCACCTTCAGGCCAGAGCCCGATTCCCCTGGGTGAATGGTCACAGGCAAAAGGGAAAGACCGAAAAGTCCTGCTTCCCCCAGCTGCAACTCTGTAGCCATTTCAAGATTTAAATGCATCACAGACCAGTTTTGCAATTTTCTGTATTTCTGTTTGCTTGTACTGAGCAGGAGGTAAGTAAATCTGGAATCTCATTGAATGGTAAAAAAAAAAAAATAGTAATATCAAGCTTCCTGCTACCATTAATTCTACCATTCTAATGTTTTCAAACTTATTTTTCTAATTTTTATTTTATTTGAAAGGAAGAGAAAAAGAGAGAGAGAGCTTTCATCTGCTGGTTCACTTCCCAAATGCCTGTAACAACCATTATAGAGATAAGGAAATAGTGAGAAGTTAATTATGTTCATGGCTGCTCCTCAAACACACCCCTGAAACAGACAGTTGCCCATCCTAAAACCAATTTTTCAAGGCCCGGTGCACATGTACTGTGATCCTTAGACAGTGTGGTGAAGTTCCAGGATTATCAATACTGTATTGTGATTGTAGCAAAACTATTTCTTAGTTTTAATTCATTGAATAAGCTTTTACTTACTTGAAGCCCAATGGGTGAATTAGATATTCTCTTCCAAGATGCTCTTAAATGGTACATTTTGGTGATTCTGCCTTTGAGAACATTCTGTTTTCTTCAGATGCTGAGGGTAGACGTCCATCACTGACACAACGGCTGTAAATGCACTACATACCCTTAAAGAGAGCACACCCTGGTTTTCTAGTGGTAGCTTTTCAGCGCATCTCTGCAAATAGTTCTGACTGTGATCATTCAGTTTCTCTGAATACAAATTTGGCCTCTGCCACTTTGCCTCCTCTCGCCTCTGTGGAGGTTTTTGCCTACGTCTCCCCTACTGAAGAAGCCCTTTTCACTTTCCTCTAAAATAAGATGGAAACATCTACGGGTAAAGCCAATCTCAGTTTAATAGAAATATTGCAAAATCCCACCTTTCACAGAACCTATACCTAAGAGGCTCTCCCACAACGCTTGCTCTTTACAGAGCTCCTGCAGCTTGCCGTTAGATTCGCTCTGTCATCCAGCAGTTCCACCTAAGAATCTGTCATCTGTCTCACCAATGTCATGCTTCTGAAGGAAGAGAATCCTTTTCATTTCATTGAGGTCTGAACTGCCTACGTTTGAGAAAAACTAAGTGTGTTATAAATGTTATCTGAGAAGATAAAAACAAAGATGAAAGTATTTGTGAGGTTTGACATCTGTACTTAAATTACTTTTATATGTGATTTGTTTTTTAAAAATCTTGGTATTTTCAGATAAGATTTATATAACTAAATAAGTGAATCATTCATTCATTAAATATTTATTGAACATCTACTATGGGTACAATACCATGCTATATGCTATGAATAAAATAAAATTATAAATAATGAATGGTTCCTATCTTCAAGTGCTTGTAATCCAGAAGTGTCTAATAGCAGATTTTGCTACAGTCAGATGTGAGCAGGTAAAGTAGGGGAATAATTATACAAGTTGGCAGTCTCAGAAATGTGTAATCCAGAGCACTTCAGGGTGTTGGATACAGAATTATACAAATATAATGCTCGTGCTCGCTTCGGCAGCACATATACTAAAATTGGAACGATACAGAGAAGATTAGCATGGCCCCTGCGCAAATATAATGCTCAATATTACTAGCCATTAGAGAAACACATATCAAAACCACAATCAGCTATCACCTCATCCCTGTCAAAAATAGGTATTACCCAAACTACAGACAGCAACAAACACTGGTGAGGATGTGGGGAAAGTGGAACTCTTATACATTGTTGATGGGAATGTAAGTTAGGGCAGTCACTGTGGAAAAGTGTATGGAAATTTCTTTAAAAAAAAAAAAGGCAAAAAAACAGGGCTGGCGCCATGGCTCACTTGGTTAATCCTCTGCCTGTGGCGCTGGCATCCCATATGGGCACTGGGTTCTAGTCCCGGCTGCTCCTCTTCCAGTCCTGCTCTCTGCTGTGGCCCAGGAGTACAGTGGAGGATGGCCCAGGTGCTTGGGCCCCTGAACCCACATGGGAGACCAGAAAGAAGCACCTGGATCCTGGCTTCGGATCAGCACAGCGCTGGCCATAGCGGCCATTTAGGGAGTGAACCAACGGAAGGAAGACCTTTCTCTCTGTCTCTCTCTCTCACTGTCTATATCTCTACTTGTCAAATAAAGAAGAAAAAAATAATAAAATAAAAAAAAACAGAAATAAAACTGCCATATGATCCAGCAATCCCACTACAGGGTATATATCCAAACGATACGAAACCATTGTATCAAAAAGACACCTGCTCCATTATGCTAATTGCAGTACTTTTCACAATAGGCAAAATATGGAATCAACCAAGGTGTCCATAATCAGATGCATGGATAAAGAAAATGTAGTTTGTGTGTGTGTGTGTATGTGTGTGTGGTGGAATATTATTCAGATATAAAAAAAAGAATGAAGTCCTATCTTTTGCAGCAAAATGGATGGGACTAGAGGACATGATATTGAGTGAAGTAAGCTACATAGAAATACAAATACTACATGTTCTCCCTTATATATGGGAACTAAAATTTAAAGATGCAATGACTTTGAACAGCCCTTGTCTTGACTGTTGAGGAACATTTTTTTCATACCATTTGTTGAACTCTTAGTATATTGTTAATCTTATGCGTATAAAGTTAACTAAAAATAGATCCTAGTAAAAGATAAGAATGAGAGTAGGAGAGGGAAGAGGCAAAAGGGTAGAATGCAGGTGGGAGGGCAGGAGGGTGGGAAGAATCATTATGTTCCTAAATTTGTATTTATGAAATGCATGAAGTTTGTAGACTGTAAGTAAAAGATTTCTGTGTTAAAAAAATCTGAACACAGAATGAACTAGTGGCTGGGAGGCAAAGGAGGGATAAAGGTTTTAGAATAAAAATAAGGGAAGCTGGGTATGGCTCATAATTGTGACAAATATACTAATAAGAGATATTAATAAGGGAAAGGAGGCAAGAGGTATATTAGACCTCTTTGTTTTATTACCTCACAATTTTTGTTTTGTAAACTTAAAACTATTCGGAAATAAAATGTTAACAAAAATAAAATTAGGGGCCGGCATAGCAGGTTACGCCTCTGCCTAAGCGCAGGCATCCCGTATTTGCGACTGGTTCGAGTCCCGGCTGCTCCACTTCTGATCCGGCTCTCTGCTATGGCCTGGGAAAGCAGTGGAAGATGGTCCAAGTGCTTGGGACCCTGCACCATGTGGGAGACCTGGAAGAAGCTCCTGGCTCCTGGCTTTCAATGGGCCCAGCTCTGGCCATTGCAGCCACTTAGGAAGTGAACCAGTAGACAGAATAATCATTGTCTCTGTCTCTCCTTCACTCAAGCTGTAACTATCTTTCAAATAAATAAATCTTCTTAAATTTTTTTAAATAAATAAAATTAAACAGAAATGAATAACCCAGAATAGTTCAGGATGCTAGATACAGAATTAATGCAAATATAAAATTAAGCATTTAATATTATGAAAAAAAATCAAATAATTAAATGGTAAGCAGTTTGTGGAGTAAAGCTCATGAAACAAAATTAGAATCTATGCCATGACATTCATCTGTGCCTTCTTTTTTTTTTTTTTTCATATCACATCAGTGCCAGTTTAATTGCTTAACCAGGGGTGGGGGATGTCTCTTCCGTGGGCTGTAGGAGATTCACAAAATCACTGGGCAGAACTCAAATTTCATGAAATCTATGGCAAGCTAACCTAAATGTTTCTCTCCCACAGAGCTTTGTCCACCTCAAGCCCAAGGTGAAAACTTTCCTCTACTTCCCTGCTACCTTCTCCCCTCATTCTAGGCTGAGGAAATGGCTCCTTTCTCCCTTTGTTCACGCCTGTATTTATTACCCATTAAGGTCAGGCACTGCCTCGGGCAGAGGAGGCACTGCAGTGAAGGAAACAGGGAAAGAGCTTTCCTCCACGGGCATGCATTTGTCCTGTTCCAGTCTATCCCTTCCACTTATGGTCTTGGACTCTAAAACTTAGGAAATAATCTAGTGGCCAAGACTCACTGAAGGGTCAGGAGCTGTATTAAAGTTACAATAGGAGAAACAAAAATATAATGCAATTTTTCATTTATATAGCAGGGTAATAAAACTTCACAAAATTGGTTTTTATCATATAACTCGTAAGAAAAAATACAAAGGTGAAATATATACTTTTAATTCTGATAGTGAAAGCATTCAGGTCTAGGATATAAAAGACTTGTCATTTCAATTTGTGATTTAAATTTGAAACAAAGTATTAGAAAAATTTTCCTCCCCAATTTAAAATACTATCAGGCATGACCAAGTTCTTTCCATTTACTTTTCCCTTTCTTATTGTGGTGCCTTTGAATTCCTCCATCTAAATTCTAAAGAAGACTTTCTCCTAAATTGATTTTTGCTCAAAAGTCTTTCCCCCCTCAATGATAAAGTATAACTTAACCACTTGGTAAATTTCTATATGCCAACATTTACACCTACCAAAATGAGTCACATGTCAATTCAAAAAACTTTCTTTTTTGTTTTAATTTTTTTTTATTTGACAGATAGAGTTACACAGTGAGAGAGACAGAGAGAAAGGTCTTCCTTCCATTGGTTCACTCCCTAAAATGGCTGCTACGGCCAGCGGTGCACCGATCTGAAGCCAGAAGCCAGGTGCTTCCTCCTGGTCTCTCATGTGGGTGTAGGGGCCCAAGGACTTGGGCCATCCTCCATTGCCTTCCCGGCCACAGCAGAGAGCTGGATTAGAAGAGGAGCAACCAGGACTAGAACCTGGCTCCCATATGGGATGCTGGCGCCACAGGTGGAGGATTAACCAAGTGAGCCATGGCGCCAGCCCCTAAGGTTAGAATTTCTTAATAACTGTTTATGGCTATGCAAAAGAAAATTTTGATAGAGCTGTATGTCAGAGTACTCTCCTTATTAGAACATTTATCCCCGACCTAGTCAGGCCTACCGATCCATTCGTAAGAATTCCATGGAATGGAGGCAGGCATTTGGCACAACTGTTGAGACATCTCTTGGGACATCATGTCCCAAATAAGAATACCTGTGTTCAAGTCCAAATCTGCTTCCAGTGTCTTCCTAGTAATGTGCACGCTGAGAGGCAGCAGGGAATTGCTCAAATACTTGAGTCCCTGCCACCTTATGGCAGACTTGCATTGTGTTCCCAGTTCTTTGCCCTTGCCCAGGCTTGGCTGCTGCAGTCACTGGGGGAGCGAACCAGCAGATAGAAGATCGATGTCTTTCCAACTCTCTCTGTCTCTCTCTCTCTCTCTCTCTTTCTTTTTCTCTCTCTGCCTTTCAAATAAATAGAATAAGTAATTTTTTATTAAGAATAATTCCAGGGCTGTGTCTGCCACGTTCACCACCATAACCCAAAGTCTAGAAGATAGAATACATACCCACTGTTGGTGGGAATGCAAACTGGTAAAGGCACTACGGAAGTCAGTCTGGAGATTCTTCAGAAACCTGAATATAACCCTACCATACAACCCAGCCATCCCACTCCTTGGAACTTACCCAAAGGAAATTAAATTGGCAAACAAAAAAGCAGTCTGCACATTAATGTTTATTGCAGCTCAATTCACAATAGCTAAGACCTGGAATCAACCCAAATGCCCATCAACAGTAGAGTGGATAAAGAAATCATGGGACATGTACTCTATAGAAAACTATACAGCAGTCAAAAACAGTGAAACCCAGTCATTTGCAACAAAATGGAGGAATCTGGAACACATCATGCTGAGTTAAATAAGCCAGTCCCAAAGGGACAAATATGATATGTTCTCCCTGATAAGTGACAACTAAGCGAGCACCAAAAAGGAAACCCATGGAAGTGAAATGGACACTTTGAGAAACAGTGACTTGATCAGCCCCTGCCCTGACTGTTCATTAGAACAACTTAATACTTTATCCCTTTTAGTATTTTTTGTTGTACTTAATACTATTGGTTGAACTCTGTAATTAATACACAATTATTCTTAAGTGTTGAAATTTAACTGAAAAGTGATTTCTATTAAATATAACAGTGGGAATAAGAGAGGGAGGAGATGTACAATTTGGGACATGCTCAATTGGACTTGCCCCAAATGGTAGAGTTAGAAACATGCCAGGGGATTCCAATTCAATCCCATTAAAGTGGCATGTACCAATGCCTTCTCACTAGTCCAAGCAATCAATTTCTGTTCACAATTGATTATAATGCTAGGACTAAGAGTCAAAGGGATCAAATAAACAAGACTAGTGTCTGCAAATACTAATTGATAGAATAAAAAAAGGAGAGAACAATCCAACACGGGAAGCAGTATACACAGCAGACTCATAGAATGGCAGATGTCCTAAATAGCACTCTGGCCTCGAATCAGCCCTTAAGGCATTCAGATCTGACTGAAGAGCCCATGAGAGTATTTCCGGCATGGAAAGCCAAGACACTGTGGCAAAAAATAAATAAATAAATAAATAAATCTTTTAAAAAAAGGTGAAGACAACAAATAGAGAATCTCAACAGAAAAGTGGAAACTGTAAAAAAGAAACAAATAAAAATCCTAGGGTTGAAAAGTGCAATAACTGAACTGAAAAACCCATTAAATAAGCTCAGTAGCAAATTTGAAAAGGCAGAAGAATGAAACATGGCTATAAGATTCCCAAATTTGGCTG